ATGTCACCCACCAAATTGGCTGATCGTCGTAATGCTCAGCACGAGGACTCAATTGTGGGTCAGCATCATGCAGTACGCGTGCAGCACACTCGCTTGAGTGGTGGAGAGGAGTGAGAGGTTGCCTTGGCTGGAAGTAAGTGACTTCTGCCTGACTTGATAATCCACTCGATCATCTCGCTCTGCTTCTGGGGTGGGTGAAGGGCAGGTCTACTTGCACGTGGGATTGCATGTGGGCGCTGTCATCTCACCTCTACCCACCTCCACCCAACGTGCCTCCACTCCCACCACACAGAAAGGAGGCAACTCGTGTGCCGTGTGGCGGAAACACGTCTTAATGCATTGCAAATGCACACTCTCCTCCTACTCCTCCACTCACCTCCCTCTCTTGTGCCACAGAGGCACATGTGCCTCCACCTTCTCACCTCGCACGACAATACTGAGGCAGTGATTATGGAGAGGAAGAAGGTGTCACACGTACGATGGTGGTGCTGGTGAAGGTGGCGGAGGTGGCAGAGATGGAGGTGGAGGTTGTTGTGGTTGCGGCAATGCTGAGGAAGTCTGTTGCAGCACCCAAATTGGGGTTGAGCGTGAAGAAGAGTAGGTGAGGAATGAGTGGAAGAAGGAAGGGAGAGCGACAGACAGACAGACAGACAGATGCGGAGAGAAAGAGAGAGAGGAGGGGGAGAGAAAGGAGATGCGAGATTGTGGGAAGGATGTGGAAGGGGGAGGTAGAGGGCGGAGTAGGAGGTGGGAAAGGAGGTGGTGAGAGGTGGGTGGTTGTCCTGATGCGGGAATGGGTTGAGGGTAGTTGTGTCAATCGTTAGTGTGCAATGCAGCATGGCAAGAGCACTTCACCCACGTCACTGTTGTCTCTGCAACAGGCAAACTGATGCGGTGACAATGACGTGTCTAACCAACTGTCTGACCGACTGGTTGAGTAGTTTGCTGATGTGAGGAGATGCGTGTCACGAGTGGCGATGACATCCACTGCATTTGTTGCCAATGTGAGTGTGGGTTGCACTTGACCTTCAGCGAAAGGAGTGGTTGTGATTGGGTGGATGTGTGTGCGTGGTCAAAAGTTTGATGACATCAGTTTGCTAAAGTGTCACATATTGTTTTGCAAGAAATGGGAGGAAGAGAATTTGGTGCTTGAGAAGCTAACCATTAGGCGAGATATTTTCAAATGTTCTATTCAAGTCCTTTAAAATAATCCCACGATTCACGAAGTTACTGCATCTCCCACTTTTGGTGTCGCAAAGCACTGTGCTGGTGTTCGTAATTGTCGTTATTACAGTGTTTTGTAACAGACGAATTCACCATTAGTTTGAAAATTCAAATTCTATACGTTTAAATGGTCGCATATTTCGAGTGAAATGTGGGTTCCAAGGTAATGAAACGGAGTATTGCTCATTCATATGAGTGATTCCTTTGGTTAGTCGGTTTTTCTTTTAACGTGATTGTGCATAACATTGAAGATGACGAGATTGTGACAACATTTTCACATCTCCACGTCTTTCAGGAATCGAGCTGGCTCCCTTTGAACAGTAAAGTCACCTCCTCTACGTCAATCGTGTAAACATCAGTTATTCACTTTAGCTTGCCGGTTTTATTATTAGCTGCGCATGTGATTACGTTTTT